ACCTTTCTGTATATTTTTTTAAACATTTTCTGTAATTTAGAAAAGCGCAGCTATGCATCATATATACAAAACTACCATATAGTAATTTGACTAGTCTAAAAATGTACATTTAATAAGATTACTGGGTTCGGCTGGCCACCTAAGAGCGCTTTTGTTTATCAGAAAATGCAATTTGCTTGACGCCTCCATGGTAATCATATGCTTAATAAGATATGCCCTACACAAAAGATTTCAACAGATTTCGAGCATTGTTTGTTGCTTTGCTGTGCCCTTTCATATACTTTAACACTTTTTCAGGCAGTGTAAGAGATGTGCAACAATCTCAATACGAAATGGAAATAAAGTTTTAAAAAATTCACGAAGGTGGTGAACGTGAAAAACTTCAACTTTTCGTTTTATATTGAAGATAAAAAAACTGCAAAAATTTCCACGTAGTTACATCAAAAATATAAAAAAGCATTTTAGTTTTCAAAAAATGTGGCAATTTAAAAAAATCAATATATGAAGTTTTTCAAGCCTTCTTTTAACTTTCAATGAACGGCGGAGTATATTTAAAAGTCAAGAGCTGCAAATTAAGTGTCTGCACACTACCCTTTAATAAATCCAATCACACATCGAATCAAATCACCAGAATTGAAAATCGTTCCACTACCTTTAGTTCAAGCAGTGTTTCTTAGTGTAATTTAGGCAAACGTTAGATCTGTAGTTGCTCAACTGATGATGAATCTGAAGATAACAACCAAGTTAGAGATTAAAAAGAAATTGACTGAAAAGCCTGTGAAGCGAGGACTTTCTGAATATGTTATATATATTTTACGAATTTAAAAAAAATTCCTCTTCTAACGAATCCTATGAACTCGCCATTCATGAGAGCCTTCTTATCAATAAATACAAGTCTTCACTCATCGTTCAAGAAAGTTCCATTCCACTTAACCTCTCTAAGCTTCAGTATATTTTACTTCCCAACTTCTTTATCAAATATTCCATTTGACACCGCCTCTTAAGTCGTAATTTAACACCTTTTTTAAATACAATATCTTTTCTTAACCCCTCATTATAAACTATAATTTGCCTGAATATGTCTTGACTAAGGACAAAACGTCAGTATGAATTCCATTTTACAACTTTTGGTATATTTCTATGGCTCTAATTAAAACTTTATGTGGGCATTAATTTTTATCATATTACAAGAAAAAATTAATTTTCACAAACACAAAAACCAAAAGAACGGTAGTATATACGAGAAAGTTTTTAGAGAGTTCGTCTTGTTCCATCATCGTGGAAAAAAACCTGCTGGGAGCAATAGCGAGAGCGATCTCCTTGTACTATCCTGCTTTGTTTCAAAACAAACTGGGATAGTTGGCATGGATTCATTTTAACTAAACGCCTTTTTTTGCTAATGCTGAGATTAAGACCAACAACTGTCCCAGGGTCAAACGTGTTTTCTTTGGTATCAATAGAAATATTTTGATTCAATTCATTTTCAGCAGATTCTGAGATTCCTTCGCCTTCCTTATGTTCATTTGAATTGACAAAGCTGTCAATATCAGAGCATTCACCAACAGAATCATGGCTATTGATTGATTTGAAAGTATGCTCATCTTGATCGTTTACATCTGTCGACTCAGATTTTTCTTGCGCATGCACTTGTTTAAGGTCTTCACTGATGTTCGGCGTTTCCCTGAGTTTTAATTCTAACTCCTCTGTTGTTTGTGACAAAATAAATTGTGGGTCATTTTGTATAGGCTTAAAGTAATCAAGCAAAACTCCCCCAAGTTTTGCAAATTCTTCTTGTCTAGCTTTCTTTCATTTTCGATACTCAGCACACGACTTTTTTCTCTTTGTGGTGTTGAAAGAATTAGACATTGCAGTTAGTCTTTAACATTGCACCATGATCCATGATGTACATTAAATAATATTAAAATAGACTTCCCAACAAAAATGGAATTATCAAATAAAATGTTTGTTGTGTGAATTACATTGGTATTACATCTGCTCAAAATAAGAGTTTTGCATTTTGAGACATTAATTTAATTGGTCTTCAAATGTTGTGGTTTAAAAAATATCTTAATTTCAATTAAATATATGCTGTTATGCACATTCGATAACTGCGGATAAATGAATCTTGAACATTTACGAAGAAGCTTTAAGTGATTTAAAAAAGTTTTACCGTAAAATAACTTGCTTTACTTCTGAAAATGACAAATGAATCGTCGTAACGATGAAAATGTAAATAACACAATACAAACAATGCAGTACATGCTGCGGTATCATTATGGGCTACTTCATGTTAGACTATGTATTATTATAGCAATTTACCGATTACTGCACTACTGTCATTTTTAAAAAATATATAATTACGCTCGGATTAATAATAACATACAATGCCAGTAACGATTACAGTCTGTGAGGGAAGCAACAAACATTGATTAAGATAGGCAAAAATTACACATTTTAGGCCTTGTTGCGTCCCTTAAGAGGACAATTTGGCCGTGTATGCATAGGCGAAACTAGAATGCTAATTGGGGGGGTGGTGTGAATATTCATATATTCAGCTCTGCCTTGCTGTTGATTTCTTTTTAATGGCGATGTTGAATTCAATAGAAATCAACAGGGCAAAGTTGAATATATGAATATTCACAGACCCCAATTTGCATTCTAGTTTCTCCCCTGCATGTATGTTGTCTACAGTCATCGTGACAAATCCTGCAGGCGTTGTGGCCACAAACGAAACATCTAATTATAGAATGGTCGTCAATATCTTATTCTTTAATCGACCGCCTTACAAGGTTTCATTTTGGTATGTCTACTTTTTCCCTAATTCCCTAAAGTTAACTTCATTCACTGAATATATAACTGCGAAAGTAACTGCTCTGTTTCAAATGCGTTTTTAATTTTTTACAGCCCATTTTCAAAAATTGATGACTCGTATTCAATTCAGCGCCCCCCAAAGTCAACAGCTAGGGAGGGGGCTGCCCCCCTGGCCCCCCTGCCACCACGCCACTGTTGCTAACTTACACTAAAGTCACTCTAGTTAGTTACTTTCATGATTTATAGTTAATAATGTAGTCATATGAGCCAACTTTGTCAGAAATAGCCTAGACAAGTCCCTTATTCATGAAAGTACTTCATGTTCCTACATTTTTAACAATTTGCTAGAAAGTTAAATATCATATTTTCTTAGTAAGTGGAAACCAAAATTTGGATGTGTTGATAAATTTGCTCTTCAAACAATTTTAAGCATACGTTTACTTGTGAATTATTTTCTACCACATGAATTTGTTAGGATTTTTTAGGGACTGTGTCAGATGATAAACATCATGTTATCATTGTAGGACTAAGTGCTTTAACTGTCCAATCTTTTTTAAGTGGGTGTAGCTCCTCCACATCATCTGCTGTAAGTTCAATTTTTTATTTTATTGATAGTACACAAAAAGCATTGTCCAAAATTATTGAAGAAAATTGCACAATTTTGTATCAGGAGTCTGGTGTGGATGAGTTAGTTAAAGTATTTCCTGGCACCCTAACATCCGACTTGCTGAATTCACTGTAAATCAGTGTACACTGCCGCAAGGTTGCCAAGTGGATAGCAACACTACCAACAAGTTTATTGAAATCAACTAAGGCAGTGACTATAGCATAATTTCAATAGCTTTTTACACACATATGATAAGCAAAGGTATTGGTATGGGTCTTTGATTTTACCATTAAATTTATTAGCTTCATTCATATAGTCAATTTTTCATGCATAAAACCTTTGGTCTTTCTTTGTTTGCTATTATAATTAAAACAAACGAGCGAACAAGAATAAAGCCCGCATAGTATCTCGGTCACAATAATTAACCACTTGGCTAAATTGAAAGGTTTTACTACAATGCATTTAGGTACAATTTGATAATATTAATTTTACAAATTTGGCGTCAGTCTAATGGCAAGCTTATTTGTATTACGTCAGAAGGAAAAAAAGTTTTTTTCAGTACCTTTGTAAATAGACATGATTATCCACATTATTTTATTGTAACTTTTTTTTTTCAATTTTAAAACATGAAAAATTATGTTTATACAGCAATATTCTATTTTAAAACATCTATACCCCTAAGCGGGTACAAATCGTATGCCTCTAAATCAAATTAGGACAAATTTTTTTCATTACTAACATTAAATGTACATAAAACAAACATTATTTGCAAGAGAAAATTTGCACCTTTAATTCTAAGGTTGTTACTTAAAGGGTTAATTAACTACAAAATCTTATAATGATTTCTGAAAATGTCAACACGATCAATGAATTTTTGTTACATTTAAGTATGTGTAATAGCAATTAAAAAAAAATTTAAAACCAGGTCTTACAGCTAATTATTTGCTTTTTCTTTAACTGCACATAAGATCATTTTTAAAACTCCAAATGACTTAAATTATTTTTAAAACATTATAAAAAATGCGAAACATCCACAAACGCTTTTTCTGTTAGCTTATCCTCAAGTAAAGAAAGATTTATTAAACTCGAAACCAGTTTATTGTAATGCTTATTTGCTTAATTGACAAAAAAGTAAATTGCAACTAAAGATCAGCAGAAATATGGTGTTTAAAAAATGAAAACCGTGTTTTTAAAGCCAAAAGTCGTTCACTTAACCTTATATAACGTAAGCCTTAACGAGCATTCATAAAATTTCAAAAATTTAGAGTTATTCTATTCAAAAGCCTCAAACGTCATAAAACATCTTGCAAGCTTCAATGAACAAAAATCCTCTAAAAAGGTTACTCTAAATGTTCTTTTAAAATACAATGGTCAATTTTTAATCCAATCCAATTCTCGTTTTCCCTTAGCTTCGATATTAATTTTATGAACATCTCTAAACTGCTAGGCAGTTGAATGAAACTCGCAATCATGTGACCAACGAAAAATGCTTTTTTATGTTTTGAATGCATTAAAAAGAAAACATGTTAATTTTTTTAAATAGTGAATATGTTTTTATCCTAGCAAAAGATTTCTCAGAGCATTGCAAGAATTTTACAAGAAAGAGCGGAATCTACAAGATTGATCCGGACAATCGAGGCAGTTTTAATGTATGGTGTGATATGAAGACATCTGGAGGTGGTTGGACCGTGTTTCAACGTCATCTTGATGGTAGTGTTAATTTCTACAGAGGATGGCAAGATTACAAAAATGGCTTTGGAAATCTAGCATCAGAGTTTTGGCTTGGATTAGATAAAATAAATGGACTTACATCTAGAACAAAGAATAGGCTTCGCATTGACATGGAAGACTTTACAGGAAACACAGCATACGCCGAATATGATTTCTTTTCTGTTCCAAGTGAAAGGCAGAAATACAAGTTGGCCCTTGGAACATATTCAGGTAAAAGATGCTGATAGGTATCCAGTAGTCGAATGAAATCAAGGAAAAAAAAAATTTGTGAATTTTAAACATGACCGAGGCTTCTTAAAGTATGTCTTTCCTCCAGACTTTAAAGTTTTTTGTTGTTTTCAGTTTATCATTCAACACTTCAAGTTATTTTGCCTATAATATTACGAAAAATTTCACTCATTTCTTAATTGATCAGAAACTTTTGGATTAATAGAAAAGGCTGACTTTTATCTCCATACCACTTCAAACGAAAGCAATACTGTCAAATGTTAATCTTTTTAAAAAACTAAAGCGCTTGCAACAGTGTTACATAAACAATTTACATTTTTAAGATTTTACAAATCAAAATACAATTTGATAAATTCACTACCATAATAACTAGTTAATAATACTTTCAGATGATTGTCTATTTGTGTCAGACATTGCAAAATGCTTTACAACTCAAAGTTTTGCATAAGAAATATACATTTTAGACTCAACTTAATCTTTATGATAACCTGAATTATTCTGTGCACATACTTAGGAACAGCTGGTGATTCGTTCACTTTCCATAAAGGAATGGCATTTTCGACAAAAGATTCTGACAACAATAAAACCTCTATGAATTGTGCAAACGAGTATAATGGCGCATGGTGGTATAAAAATTGTCATGCTTCTAATTTAAATGGGATTTATCGTCATGGTCAAGACTTCTCATATCTTGTTGGTATCAATTGGCATGCGTGGAAAGGCTATTTTTACTTCCTAAAATCCACTTCCATGAAAAAAGGACCTCGTAGTTTTTTTATTAAGAAGTGAGAACTTTCATTTATTTTTTTCTTTTTTTCTGCTTTTAAAAATTTAATGCATCTATACAAAATAGAACTAGAACTTACGCATGAAAAAATGCACAGAACTAATTGATGCGCAAAATATATTCCGCTTGGAAGGTTTCATTTTGAATATTAACCTTATTATCAAACTTATAATTAGTAGAGTGCCATATCTTACAATCTTTGAATGAAGGTTATTATAAAAACTATTAATTTAGTTGTTAAAATTTGTAATACTTTCTGTTCAACAAAATATAGATAGTTTGTTGTCACCGCTCTTCATTTTCTTCTACTAAATTCAACACTTTACATTTTTTCGTTGTTGGGAAAGAAGCATAAAAATGCGCCACTGCGTGATGTGGACGGTAAAAAGCTTGTTTTTTATGTTTCATGCAAATACTTTAATTTTGCTACTAAACATCATAATTTTCCTGTGGTAAAAATGACATGCAGAAAATAAAAAACGTCTTCCACGAATGAAACTCTTGAAGCAGCGAATTAGATTTCGTCGAGAATTATTGGCTGAACTTTATATCGGATTCTTAGTTCAATTCTTATCTACAAGAGCGTTATGATATTCATTGATTATGTTCTTCCTATAAAATCATTGAGCACTTACTGATTTACACTAACTTATTTACAATTTCTATTATCTTCATAACTGTTGCTGTCTTGACCATTGCTTATTATCTTGGTTATTCTTTGTATCTTAAACATTCTTTGGACCGTTTTAGAACTGTCTTGACAAGTCTCAATTTATTTGTGTACTTTATACAGTGTAATGGAGCAGAGACTTTGTCGTGGTGACAAACTTAAAGATGGATTTCAAAATAGCAAATACCATGATGAATAGTGATAATAACAATGTAATAGTTCTTAAAAGAACTGTTTTAACAAGAACACTAACCCAACAATTCAAAGGAACCGTTATTTACAGCTAGAAAGAGACACTATGCATTTCGGCAGGCTACTCGTCAGGTGTCAGCGTCTGCTAAATGAGAACCTCCAAATCATGCTATATTTATAAAGTTACAAACGGTCAATGTCATCCCTATTTTTAGAGATGGCACTTAAAACAGAGACAGATTAAACACGTAATGCTTTTGTCGGCAAAGCACAGGATTAGTCAATTTAATTAATACCGACTCCATGACGCGTAGCTGGAATAACGAGTGACATTTTTTAATAATTTTAAAGTTTTCATCAGAATAAGCATTGGCAAAGCGAGTGTTGCTTAAAATATGTTTTCCAATCACTGAATCACATAGAATTGGATTTTCACTTTTACACGCACGTTTTGGTAGTTGCCGTAAAGGAACAGTTTTATTCCTGACAAAAGCTGGTACACGCTGTTTTATTCTTTCACTCAACCTTTGAGAAGTCCTACCTACATAGCGAGCATCACACTCAAATTTAAACTCCGAGACTACATTGCTTGATAATTGAGCAGGGAAAGACTCTTTGGGAGTGGGTGGAAGAATAGTTCTTTTTGAGAATATAAAGACCACATTGCACGCAAAAAACAAACTCGCAGTGATATTTTTAGTTTCCTTCTCGATGTCATTAGAGGCTATACCCATCCAGGGAGGTTTAAGGAAAACAGAGCACTTGGCCGGTCCGAAAAGTTCATTCCGTTCATTGTTAGTGGATAAAAAAAATTTTCTAGAAACTTTTCCGGATATCCATTTAACACAAAAGTATTCTTTAGTGAGATAAGATCACTATCAATAAACTCTTTTGAAGACAATCTATGCGTTCGCTTTATCAAACACTTTACTAAAGAAATCTTTTCTCTATGCGAAGAAAAGGAGTCGAAGCGTGTGTACAAACCAGTGAAAGTTGCTTTGCGATGAATGCTTGTTAAGAGCTGACCATTGCGTTAGTGTAGAAGAACATCTAAAAAAGGTAATTGATTGTTTGACTCTAGTTCAGAGGTGTAATTTAGTGCAAGGTGAAGAGATCAAAGTTTCTTAAGAAAAAGCTCACGATTTTTATCGTTATGAAACAAAGATAAGGTTTCATCTACATAACGCTTATACCATAGCACATCCGGACAATTTGATAATGCAAGCATTTGGCATTCATGATAGCCAACAGAAATATTCGCAAGAACCGGTCCAAGTGGAGAACCCATAGCCACCCCGTCAATTTATTTATACATGGTTTCATCAAAACTAAACACCACACCCTTTGTGGCAGCCATAAATAGTTCTCTAAAGGCAACAGGTATGCCATATGCTGATGGTTTCAATTGGAATGCGTGGGAAGGCCATCACCACTCTTTAAAATCTACTTCCATGAAAATACGACCTTGTTCATTTTTCCCTTAAATATGGCAACTGGCATTTACTTTTCCTTTTTTTCTGCTTTTAAAAATTTAATGCATGTATACAAAATAGAACTAGAATTCACGCATGAATAAACGCTCAGAACTTAATGATGCGCAAAATATATTTCGCATGAGAGGTTTCATTTGAATATTAACATCATATCTCATTTAATTTTAATATTAACTTCATCGTAAAATTTATTATTAATAGAGTGCCATATCTTACAATCTTTGAATGCAAGTTATTATAAAAATTATTAGTTGTTGTATGCAGTTGTTATAACTTGTAATACCATCTGTTCAACAAAATACAAATAGTTTGTTGTCACAGCTCTTCATTTTCTTCTACTAAATTTAACAATTGACATTTTTCTGTTGTTGGAAAAGAAGCACGAAAAATCTGACACTGCGTGATGTGGACGGTAAAAAGCTTCTCTTTGTATGTTTCATGCAAATACTTTAATTTTGTTACTAAACATCATAATTTACCTGTGGTAAAAATACATGCAGAACATAAAAAACGTCTTCCACGAATGTAAATCTGGAAGTAGCGAAGTAATATTAGTGGACAAGTATTGGCTGAAATTTTTATCGGATTTGTAGTTTAAGTCTTAACTGCAAGAACTTTATGATATTCATTGATTATGTTCCTCTTATAAAATCACTTAGCACTTACCGATTTACACTAACTTATGAGCAATTTTTATTATCTTCATAACTGTTGCTGTCTTGACCATTGCTTATTATCTTAGATATTCTCTGGACCGTTTTAGAACTGTCTTGACAAGTCTAAATTTATTTGTGTACTTTATACAGTGTACCATACAAGGGTTATTTGTTAAATATTTTGTCGTTGCTTACATTTTTATTAAGATGGCTCTAAATCTACATAGTACTATGTCTTTAAAAATGTGATGCAATAAGCTTCCCTATTGTTTTATACTAGAACAGAAGTAGAAATTATTTACTGATATATAAAGTAGACAGTTATTTCAAATAATGACGACTTATGGTATGAAATGAAATGTCTTTATATTTGGATCTTTATTTATCTTTAAGAAAAGTTTTAATAGCTTACGTACTTTGATATTGGTCGATCAAAAATTTGGTGCAATATTGCGCTCACTGATGAATGGATTTACAAAGGAAGATGGAAGTACAAAAATATCGAATCCTGTCATTGAATATAATCGATGACTTAATCTTTGTACACAACACTCTATTTGCTTTACTTTCACCGTCTAGACAGGCTATACAGGTCACATGCCCAGGAGTACAAGGACAGATGTGGAAAAAACAGAGCAAATGGTTTGGTATTATTTTATGTTATAGTTTAATACGCGCCTTGTAGATTTTGTTACTCTAAATTTATTTTCATATTTTTGTTCCTTGAAATCCACATTACAATAATTATATATTCACAAATCACAGGAAATTACATTTTGTAAAGATATGAAGTAAATGTTAACTTACTATTTAAATTTCCCACTTTGGCTTTATCGTCGTTTGAATTGAGACAGGTCAAACATGGTATGTTAATATTGTTTAGGCAGATATAGTTTCGGAAAATCAGGAAAAGGCGTACGCGAACAACTTAGGTTGTATCTAAAATTTTGAGCTTAAACCAAGAAATAATTTGTTAAGGTTTTTTGAAAATGGCATTTATGTGCTGATTAAACACAAAAAAGCTCTTATTTTTAATTCCCAGCGTTCGTGTACATGTATTGTTCTAAAGCCGACTTTCTTGTAATTTTGTTTTGTTGAACAACATCGACCGTGTTTTAATCCTAACTGTTCCAATTGCTTTTTAGGTTTGTCCTTTTTCTGCAAATATACTTCAAAATTGTTGGAAATATAAAACTCTCACTAAGAAAATATTTATTATTTGCAACATTTTTATTGTCCGAAGATTCATTAAGTCTAAAATTTCCTAATCAACCAATTAAAGGGTTTTGCAAACCTTGCACGCGAACAAATAAAGTGAAGTTCTCCCACTATTTTAGAGTTTTTTTTTGTATTAGCTGAGAATTAATAAGCATTATATAAGATTTGTATATGGTATTAATTAATGGCTCTTTACGACATAGCACTATATTTATTATACATTGTAACATACAAGTACAACAAAATATGTCCAGGGAATACTTTAAACGAATTGGTAAAATAACAACAAAGCTAAAAAACCTAAGAGTCGAAGCCACCGAGTTGGCTAGTATATGGGTTAGGACAAAATGCGGATACGGATGGCGGATGAGGGGATAAAATGTGGATAAAGGGATAAAACGGAGATGCGAGGATAAAACTCGGATGAGGTGATAAAACGCAGATGAGGGGATAAAACGCAGATGAGAGGATTAAATGCGGATGAGGGGATAAAACGCGAATGAGGGGATAAAATGCGTATGAAAGGATGAATTGAATGAATTGTGTCTGCAAAAGAAACAGTATATTAAATATTTATTCAGGGTCATCAAGTAACACAAATCATTTTTAAATTACCTCTTCTTCTTTCAGTTTCAAAACAGTACAACTAAACTGATATCAAATTTTAAAAAAAAATGCTATTAACAACCATCATACCCAAATGCCAAAATCACTATTTATTAGCCATTTTCAGACCTATGTCTATGCCTAATTTACAAATTAGACGATTCGAAAAAATTTTTCAGAAATTCAAAAAAATCAGTTTTTAAATGTTGTTGTATCCACGGTAGAATAAAAGACATTTGGTGGTTGAAATAGGGCTGTTTCATTTTAATACAACACTTGTTGACGTGAAAATAAACATTTCTCTCCTGCCGTCAGCAACTGTGCGATATTCTCTCCGCATTCTTAAAATGACGACGAGGTCGAAAAGTAGGTTTCCAATCATACCATTAGGCTTCAAAGTCTGACTTCATTCAAA